TCTGTGGCGGAGCATGGCTGCTGCATCTTAAAAAAACGGACTAGTCATACAATTGCTGTGAGTGAGCACAGGTGGGGATTCAGTTGATTTAACTGGTACAGCATTGATTTGTTTTGTTGTTGTTCATTGGTGTTTTCGGGCGTGTCGACTTCAATCGTCATTTTGCGCCCAGTACAGCATTGATGTGCTTTTATGCTGCACACATGGGCATCGCAAAAAAATATGCCATCAATGTATGGACACCCATTTTCCACTGGCAATACAATGCAGACTGCCATTTCCCTCACAAAAGGCGTTTGGTAATGACTGCCCTGACTTGATGAGATGGATGTGCTAACAAGACGGACGGAATTACAAAATGTCATGTATGGCATACACTGGGCACAGTTAACAGCTTTGCGTATGTATTTTATTGTTCTGCGAGCGTGTGTGCGTGTTATATATATATAAATATATATATATCTATATATATTGGTATATTTTGTTACCATACTTTCCTGTACGCATGCTTCATTAAACGACCGCTGGTTCCGCAATAGCAGACTCTTGATGCACCGTTTCGAGATTCCGGACTTTCGACTTGCAGCATCGCCAAGATAAAATTTTATTCGTTCAAACTCACTCATGTATTCCTTGATATCCATACATTTTAACGTTTTAAGCCTCATCACGCCGCCGGGGAAATATAAATGGCGCAAGACATAATTTGTTAGTAGTATTATAACTAATTTAGAAAGGAAATTTGTTGACATTGGTGGAGTCTCGTCAGCATAATGGTCTGCTGCCTATCTAGATGTTCAAAACCTATTTGCAAACGCACTACATTGCCAGACAGATATATATATATATATATATATATATATATATATATCTATATATATATATATATATATATATATATATCATAGTGTTGGTTACCAGATTCAGATGTTTCCATGTACTCGGTGTAAGCTAGTGTGAGGTAATCATGGGTGCAAGCTATAAGTTATCGTCACCCATAAGCGTAACCAGGCGCAAATTCACCCGTATCATGGAGAAGTGCACGCCATCAATATCGGCATTAGCAGCGGCGATCAGCTTATTAAGTTCAAATTGGTAGGAAAGAAATAAGGGCCAGTGTCCGACAGCTTAACGTCGACACATGAATTGATCGCGATCGTGCGGTCCGGTGGGCCTAGGGGTCTCCTAACCTCTCTAAGCGTTAAGCACCTATTTACAAACGTGTTATGTGTGCCATTTATATTTTTCCGACGATGAGAGAAGGTCTCGCAACGCTAGAATGTACAGATATCGACGACTATAGGAGTGATTTTGTGCGAACAATATTTTATCATAAGGATGCTGCAAAGTCGAAAACCCGGAATGCATAAAGGTAGGCATCCCACATTTTTGCGTAATTTTACATCAGACGCGTACGATTTGATCAGTAATATCAGCCTTCCGATATCCTTCTGAATAGCTCAGAACTTTTATTCTAAGAAGCCGACCCTGGGGAAGAAAATTCATTTGACCCTTGCTAACCACTATGAAAGCAGTAATTCTATTTGAATTGCTTTTTTGGCTGCAGACAACCCCATGCTCCGAGCCTCAGGCGCCGATCACCACAAAAACCTTCGCCAATCAATGCGCCATAGTTAATGTCCTATCCTTTCCAAAACATGGTGACCTAGGGTCATGTCACGCCAATTTCGATGGTTTTGGTGGTTTTTGGTGATCTTTGACCTGACTCAAGGTCATCATGTTCTGGAAAGGATAGGATATCGACTATGGCGCATCGATTGGTGAAAGTTTCACGGTGGTCGGTGCCAAAGGCTCGGAGCATGGGGTTGTCTGCAAACCTATGTTTACAGTTTTTTGTACTTCTGGTGACCTTTGACCTGACCAAAATTCACCATACTGCCGAAAGGACAGCTTATCGACCAAGCAACATCAATTGGTGAATGTTTTGTATCAATCAGTGTCAAGGGCTTGCAGCATGGGGCTATCAACAGGTTTAGTCAGCCATTTAGTTCCTCCCTTTGAATTGTCATTAAATTGAGTACCCTCCATTTAAACTTCTAATTTTCTTGAAATATGTTAAACTCAACAAGAAACCTGGACTAGAAGTTCTTAGCCTTACAAACTAATCTGCTAATGTTTGGTTAAGCAGAATCAGCAGTCACACTGCGGCAATAGGACATGGGGGAGGGGGGGGGGATAACATTTAATGAAACATGCATAAAGGAAAATATTCTGCCAAGATATACTGACATAAAACAACACTAGGCACCGCGACATACAAGGCACAACTGGTGATTCATGAGCTGGAGTAGAAGGCCTGTGATGTTCTAAACACGCGCCCAGGTGGCCGGTTGAATACCCTTCGCTCGGGTGGGGTTCAATTTGACGCCCTTCTCCCTGCAATTTCAGGAAATTAGAGAGCTAAAGACACCAAATTCACAGGGTGTGTTGACCTGTATGTGAAGTCACTTAGGCCACAGTTTGAGATCCCTAGATCATGACCTTCAGGTCAAATGAGTTCAAACAAGGTCAAATTCCAGGTTGGTCTCCAAAGGGTCCCTACAACCTAGACAACTGTTTTCAGCAAAATGGTCACATGCTCATCTAAGGTCAGTGACTTTGTTTGACATTTTAAAGGTCATGGTGACCAAAATCATACAAAACCACTTTGAGTTTTGCATCTGGATAAATGACATGGATTACGCTAGGCAGTATGGTCCTAAAAACATAATGTTGACCTTGGTCATTCTGGGTCAGTGACCTATTCTGACCTTTAGCAAGTCTATGGAAGGTGTATCATGCAGTTCCTGTTATCAATAAATGGGAAATGAGCACCAGGAACTACCCCATAGAGTTAGCACTGGAGTAATAAAACAGGTTGGTTTTGACCATGATCTGACCTTCATACCTGACCCTAGGTCAGTGCAATTTGTTATTCAGTTGTTGTGCTGCCTAAGAAAGTATCTCAGAGTTGAATGGCTTCATCTAGCACTCTGTTGTTGAATCAGATTGAATGATTCCGAAGAAATTGCCTCCACCGAAACCATGGCCTAACTTTGACCTGCCATAGGTCAGTGACCTTACCAGGTGCATCTAAATTGCTTTATGCCAGAGGATCCCCTATTTAATTGTCCACACCTAAGCAAAGTCTGGGTTGGCTACACCTTGCCATTTGGAAATAATTCTGGAAAAACCTTTGGGGGATCAATTTGACCCCTCACACAAGTGCATATAAAAAAGATGACAGCTTTAAAAGAGGTCACATGCATACTGCCCAGAACATGAACTAAGACAAAAGGTGTTTGATGTACTTGATGTGATTGAATGTGATGCCAGATGTCTTACTAGAAATATGAGTCAGAGGAATTTCAGAGCTTCATGGGCAGACACAGTATTATCACAAACTGTGGATGGTTATATCAATTTATCATGTCATGATCTTACTGAGAAAGAAAGTTTAAACTTGGACTTAACTACCATATTTTCTTGAAATATGACAAAACTAAGAGGACACTCAAACCAGAAGTTGTCAAAAAGAGCTGGAGGGTATGCTGAGTAATAACTATGATTAACATACAATGCTTTCTTTTATGCATAATTTTATGTTATAAACATTAATTCAGAAGTTCTCTTAATTGCAAGAAAGCTTCAACCGTGACTAATTCTTCAAAAGATTTTGCAGTTATTGCTGAACTTTGAGTGAGATCTTTCTTTGCATTTTCATGAGGGTGTGAAGTTTAGTTGATTCTATGTAAGCAGGTAGGAAACAAGTAAACAAGACAACCCTGCACTTTGTCTGGCCTGGATGACTGCATTCATCTGAATGACTGTCCAATAACTAAAGCTGGCTATCCAACTAGGTACAACAAACAAATGTCTTGCATAACAAGGTGTCAATGAATTATGTGTCATTGATCTTTAGGCTTAAGTCTTTATCAAACTGCATCATATGACTCACATGTGTCATCACAAAATTTTCACCACATTCTCCCCTGTGCCTTCTGAAAAACACGTCTGACTCCAGCACAACACTCTGACTTTGCCAAAGGGCAAAGGGGTCTTCATGATCATGTTATCCAATGTTTCATGTTTTCCAGTGTTTGTAGTGTATAGCGCAATGTAGCACAGAACAATATAAGGACGGGCCCTGACATGTCCTCGAACAATGCGTTCAAGAGGCTTACCAGTTCACGCATGGGCTAGAACAGACAACGGTAACAACAATAACTCTCGCAATTGAAGCCCTTAGGACGACCCACGATCCCACGAAGTTTTAAATATTGAGTGTCCGCCCCGCAACTCTCTACCCACCCGCAACAGCCTACACCACAGCCAGGCTCTACTGATGCTGTAAATATCCGGCGGTCTCCCCCGGGTAAAATTAGCCTGGTGCGCTGGGATCAGGGCAGCTGCGTTGTTTTAACATCACAGCCGTGTCCTTTTTACTCAATAATTGATTTACTGCCGTAGGCGTCTGAGCAGCCTCATCTAAGTATTATTGAGAGTTCTATGACTAAATGTGACTTGGATATGCTTCATTAGATACTTTTTATGTTTATGAGCAGTTGATGTGCCCCATAGGATATTAGATAAGCATAAAAACGCCTAAGGTGACGACAAAACAGACCGCAGTTATTGAGTCGCAGCATAAACTTATCCTAGGTCGTTCAAATTATAGAGAGATAAGTCACCTTTGCTTTCAGTACTCTGAGTAAATTTTAGACGCTAGTATTTGGGAATTGCTCAATCAAAGAGCTTATCGTCCATTTTCATGCTTTACGTATATACATCCCTTCAGATCTAACACCAATTCAGCTATCAAAAGGCCTCTTACATATGAAATTTAGGAGAAAAATGAAATATTTTAATAAAAAAGACATTTTCATAAGCCATATGCCATTCTTTCACTCGAATCTTACACGAAATACATTAAATATATTTATGTGCAAGCAGCGCTGCGCACTCTTCAATCCACACGAAGTGGGGCGCCATTGTTCTTGCCGGGGCCGGTGTCCCAACTAGTCGTTGTTTGGTGTTTTATTTCTTGGTTCGTGAATAATCGCCAGAATGTCGGAGGGTGAGTAACTCGTGAATTTTTTCATGTTGGAGCAGGATGTCAGCGATGAGCTTGTAGGATCATGTTGAAAAGAATGAGGCTCGTGATTTCATTGAAAACAGTTGCAGTTACGTGGTTCGCGGAGTGGATGTCGTGTTTATTTGAGCTCGTGTAGTGACCGTGCTCGTGTCACCGTGTCACGGTGATCGTGACCTACCGGTTTTGAAGAATCGTTTGAATTTTGTATGTACCGAAAGTATATTTATGTTAAGTTTCATCATACATTGAGATGGTCGCGAATGCGGCGCAGCTGTGTATGCAGTTGGGGCAGAGGCTGGGGTGGGTGATGTTTGGTACATTATGCGTTCTAATAAACTGTTGTATGTAAAATGTTAGGATGGAGTGTTGCCATTGCTAATGCCAATGTAATATAATGACTGCTTTGTGGTGTAGGTGTACTTTCCTACCTAAGGTTAGAAAAAATCATTGCACACCATTTGTGTGTTTAAGGCGGCACATACCGTAAATAATCTCAAAACAGGTAGAATCATGCTCGTGCCTTCTAATTTCAATAACTTTGATGGCGGGCTCCCGAGCACGCCTGGACTCCCCAGCGCCGTTTCTGCGTTGCCGTTGCGTAAATACAATATTTCTGCTTGCCAAGAACTCGTGCAGAACATATGGTAAATAATTTCAAAACAGGTAGAATCATGCTCTACCCTGGAATTTTAATAAATATGATAGTGAACTCCCGAGGACCACGCACACCACACTGCATCGACTCCCAAGTCGTTTCTGCGTTGTTGCAAGCACAATATTTCTGCTTATCAAGAACCATGAAAATGTACAGGACCAAGGTAACAATAATAAAGCAATCAAAATAGTTTATCGAGTTTAGGTGCGTTTATGAAACACACAGGCCAGAATAGTCCAGAACATATCTAAAACTAGCCTAACCTAACCTAACCTAACCCAACCTAACTGAGAATAGACCAGAACCTAAGCTAAGCTAAGCTAAGCTGACCAGACCTGACTGCCTGACCTGACCTGAGACCTGACCTGACCTGACCTGACCTGACCTGACTGAGAATAGACCAGAACCTAAGCTAAGCTAACCTACCCTACCCTACCCGAACCTAATCTAACCTTACCTTACCCCACCTAACTCAACTAACCTAACCTAACCTAACCTAACCTCCCCTCCCCACCCTACGCTTTACATTCCCCACCCAATCCTCCTGCAACCCATCCTCCCGTTGGCATCGAGGATCAAATTTCATGGATTTTTGTTACCTTGGCCCAGTATGTTTTTATGGTTCTTGATGCTGCTTGATGTGCAGTAATGTGACCGTGCACAGCAACGGCGCCGGTGTCGCGGGTGCTGTGTGTGTGCGGCACTCGGGAGCTCGCCATCATAATTATAAAAAATTTGAAGGTAAGAGCATGAATCTACCTGTTTTGTGATTATTTACGATATGTCCTGCCTTAAACACGACGAATGGTGTACAATGATTTTTTCTAATGTTAGGAAGGTACACCCTGACCTGCTTTGTTAATATGCTCATTCAATTTGCCCTCAAACACATTAAGGTACTCGGTCATGGTATATATAGTTATGGGCGCAAAATGACCACTGCAGTCAACGCGCCCAAAAACTCCAATGAACAACAAAAATCGGTCATGGCATACATTGGTACCTAATGCAAAAAAGGCGGTGTACATCAATCATCATTTTTAAGTCAGAACATATAGTAACTAATTGTAAAACAGGTAATCTAAACTCTTACCTTGGAACTTAGATGACTACGACAGCAAACATCTGAGCGCTGCAAACACAGCAGCTGCGGCCCCAGTGCCGTTGCTCAGCATGGTTGCAATGTTGCTGGTCATCAAGAACCATAAAAATGTATGGGGCCAAGGTAACTGGAATCCAGTGAAATTTGTTTATTGTGTATACAAGCAGCCTTCTGTACTGTTTGTAGATTGGTCGACATCGGGGGGCAAATGTGATGTCTTTGGGCGGCGAATGAAAAGCAAAATGAGAACATGGCGGCCAAAGAAAGCTTCTTAATATGGTGCATATGTATGGCATGGAACATGGATGCCAATGGGACACTGGGTTGAATGGGATAGGGTGGGGAGGTTAGGTTGGATTAGATTAGATTATATTATATTGGATTAGATAAGGTTAGGCTAGGTTAGGTAGTTTGGTTAGGTTAGGCTAGGTTCTAGTCTGTTCTGGCCTGTCAGTTTCATTAGCTTACCTACATGCAATAAGAAACATTTCAGTGCATTATTGTTTCCTTGGCCCCCTCACATTTTTTATAGTTCTTGATGTGCAGTCATGTTGTGGCCATTCAACGATAATGCAGCAATGGGGCTGGGGGGTCGAGTTGAGGGTGTGAGATGCTCTGTAGCTCACCATCATAATTATTAAAATTAGGTAGCATGAATTTACCTGTTTTATGGTCATTTATTGTATGTTCCACCTTAAACATGACAAATGATATATGATGCTCTTTTTTAACATTGGGTATTTATCAGATTTTGAAAGGCAGCAATGCTTTATATCATGTTGGAAATGCCTTTTGGTATGATGCTGGTCAGCTTGCAGAGCAGCATGTGTTTTTGGTAGTATTGCGCCATCCACAGTATGCTTTGAGGGGTCAAGGTGCTGTCATTGTGCCATCTAATTAAGTCCTAGTTTACGAAAGGATTCCACTGTGTTGAGTGCATGCACATTATTGCTGCATTGAACCAGGAGGATGCATGTATGCTACTCATGATAGACAGTTTCATTAGTTTTGCCTTATTTTGAAATGTCAAGTGTTTATTGGTTTGAAATGACCACTTGAGAATTATACCTCATCGAAATATTGCATAAGTCTGAGCACCTGAACTTGTGTGTGCGCAGCATTATGGATGTGATCTTTGCCAAGCCACTTATGTTAAAAGTAGAATGTATTTATCCAGTCTGTGCTGTAGATGCAGTTGAGCCAGTCCTCAAAATTTGGCAAATGATCAAAAATCTTGACAAGATCTTGGGGCAGGGGCATGGAACAAATTCCTTAAGCAGGGCAGCTCATATATCTTGGGGTGCAAGCTCCAATACTCACGTGAACTAGTAAATCAGCCACAAATGATCCTATGCCAGGCAAGCTGGGCAGTGTGACAGCTTGACAGGCATAATATGCTCTGCATATCACTATATTTACCAGTGTTTATGCTGTAAATTTGCATTTTAAAGGTAAGATGTAATGCAAAACACCCCTTTGTGCAGGTGTGCTAATATTTGAGTTTTGACTTTGTTGTGCCTGACATGCTGTTGTTTCAATATTAATTTTGCTGATCAGGGAAAAAAGAGGCTCGGAGAATGGCCCAGATAGGCCCAATTTTTTGTGTTGTGCCAAGAGCCTGTGTTGTATTGCTTTGCCTGTGTTATAGGTTGGCCTCTACCAGTAAATAGTATACCTGGTATTGCATTAACACCAAATATCATGGATTTTGCAGGCTATGGTGGTGGTGGCTATGGCAGCCAGGGAAATGGTGGCTATGGAGGAGGTGGCTATGGGTCCAGTGGTGACAGATATGGTATGTTATGGGAAGCAACAAAGGTTCTTGGAATGACAGAAGAGGGCATCATATTTTGTTTGTCATAAATGATTTGGTATGTTCATTAATGTGTAGTAGTATCACAGCTTTAGCAGTGTGTTATTTGATGTGTTGCCTGGTTAATTTCAATGTTTGCATTCAACCCAAACCATTGCAGGTGGTGGCGGGAGCACTGGTGGTTATGAGAGAAGAGGCTCATATGACAGAGGTCAGTTTAATGATGCAGGCAGGCCTCTGCACAATGAAAAATGTTTGTTTCATTATCAAGTATTTTGCTTTTCATTGAAATATATATTGTTATGTGGTGATGTGTCTCATTTTACTTGGTATGAGAAATGACCTGTCAAGCCAGCTGTGAGCATTGTATGCCATTCTGTTCCTGTCAGTTCTAAGCAAAACCTAGCATCATTGATATAATATGTAACATGCTTATCCTCATAACATTGCTTGCTAACTGTCATTTGAAGTGACATGTTATGAACAGGTTTGTTTGCATTCATAAGCCATTTTAAATTTCCAAACAATATTTGCTGCTAAATTGCTGTGGTCAAGTCTTCACTTTGCCTACAGATGTGTAATCATGAGAGGGGACTATTGTGCCATGGCCAGTTCAATCTAATATGATAATTTGTTTATGAAATCAAATGTTGGTCAGATGTTGCAGACTGAGCAATGTGTGATGTCATACTTGACCATGCAACATTGTCATCACTGT